TTTTAATACACTTTTATTTGTATTTCCAATTTAAAATCATGTCAGTGCAATTATATTTATCAGAGAGCATTCTCCTATGTCGCGTAACCGTAAGTTTGCATCTTAGGTGATGTTCACTTCACACTATCAAAAATATTTTGAATATATTCACTATGGAAGTAATCATAATCCTTTATTATGTATGTATCTATTTCGAGTATTGTATATAACTTTAAGAAAATAGTCTTTTTTATATTCTATATTTTAATTCAGTAAAATCAAAGTATATCTTAATCCAGGAATAAAAAAATTAACCCGGTTTAATTTATTTACGGCAACCATAGCCATAATATGCAATACTTTATGCCGTACTTTTAGTTGAAGAACAGATTAAATTATTTTAAATTTACTAAATTATTAATCTCTACAAATTTAAACTACGCTTCTGTCGTAGCTTGTCACAAATTTTTTAATCAGAGTCTGTGTTTCCGTTAAAAATATGTGGATCGCGTGCTGACACACTTCAAAGGCGGCATCTGAGAGTGGGCATTCTGATTGTTATTTATTCTGTGGACAGATCGTCATTAATTTATTTCATATAAATATTGTAAATTTCTGTTTTAGTCAGTTGAAATTTAATTAAATAACGTGCTGTTACTGTTAGTTGTACCTTTAAAAGGGCCTTTTTGAAAAGTACGATCGGGAGCATGATACTATAACAAAACAAGATAAGTCAACGCGCATGTTTTTGTGACGTAAGCCCGTGACAACTTTATTGACGGTTAGTTAAATGCTCGTGTTCATGTTAATTATGTTGCTGTGTTAATCGAGTTTGCTATCCTGTGTATTTCAAAACGTAGTGAATGATATTTTTATTTATTCATTGATGTAGTAAAGACGTTGTTGGTTTTGTTGGACTAAGGCAACATTGCGTTGCCTTAGTTTTCTTCGGTATGGCGACAAACGTAGTCAGCAACCATTCTTGAGGTATTATAGATGATATATGATTAATATTTCTATAGATGATAATAAATGTGTCTATAGATAATAATATATATTAATGCTCATTTTAATAGAATTTGAAGTAATACTTTATTTTTGATAGGTCTTTAAATACATTAAATACATACTTTGGATGTATGTATTATGTAGTGAACTGGAACATATTTTTCGTAGTTATAATGGCGAAGATGGATGCTGAAGATCTCTTGGACAGAGCACGTGACCAACAACGAGGTGCTGAGAAGAATGGGTACTGAAAGAGAACTCCTAAATATTGTAAAAAACAGGAAAATGAGTTATCTGGGACATATTTACAGAGGAGAGAGATACAACTTCCTACGACTTATAATGGAAGGGAAAGTGGAAGGAAGAAGACGTCCTGGGAGAAGAAAATGCTCCTGGTTGAAGAATGTAAAAGACTGGACAGGTATGGACACACATTCAATACTAAGACAAGCTCAAGATAGAGAGCAATTTGCTGTAGTTATAGCCAACCTTCAGTAATGGAGAAGGCACTTTAAGAAAAAGAATAATGGCGACCCATTAAAAAAAAAACAAAAAAATATTAAAAAAACTTAATAGAAGCTGCAAAATATGTAAACGTTAGCGAAGATGTAAAATTACTTTTTTTAGATGTAAAATGTATTGTAAAATACGAATTCTAAATAAAAATAAGATAATTACAATATCCGCAAGAGAAAAATCACAAAGATTGTAAAATAAATGTCTAAATGATATTCATAAAGTCACAAGTATGACCTGCTTTTTCTTTATGGTCAAATTCTTTACATTTTACCCGCATTATATTTAAATTATGTTTTGTAGCAATATTTATTTTGTTTGTAATACACACAATCAAATCGTAGATTCATATATTTCTTTAATCAATTTTACACATTACTTATTAATTTTCAAATCACGTTTTCACAGAAAGTAACTAGTTATGATTCTTAGTGTAATATATGGCATCGAGGTATACTTACCGTTAACAGTTTAAGTTTCGAAGTTGATCATTACAGTAATGGAACAACGTTGCCATATGATGCATCGTTAAAATATGATACACACAAGTCCCCTGGCTTTGTCTCGCTATGACGTCATGCGCAAAGTCGATTAAAATTTTGAACGGCAAGTGAGCATATCTTGTTGTTATAGTATCATGGTGCGGGAGTAACAACCCTGAAGTGGCGACTTGATATTTTGAGTTTTGATCTGTATCTACGTTTTGTTTAATTTAATAAATACGTATGTTGGGTTGCCTATACTCAAATTATGCATTAATAGCAAATAGCGTATCTATAGGGGTAATAAATCAACGATTTTATGTACATTATTGTACATCATACATGTACTATCGACAGAAAATAAATTAAATAACAAAAATTGTTCTAAAATCTTATATTCGTATACACAAATGAAGTAGACATATAAAAATACACAAAATCAAGGGATCTAACTACAATGTATCATAATACAAGGCTGCAAATTAGCGAAAATTATCGAACATTTTCGAAAATATATTTCGAGACCTTTTTTCGTAAAAATCTGAATTAATAACTAATAAATATTATATAATATCACATTTTGCACAATCTTCAAGTATTCGTATAAAAAATAGTAAGTAATGTAGACTATAAAAAAATTGTCAGTGAAACATTTATATAAATAAGCAGGGCATTGCACGTTGTGAAAAAAAAAAAGAAAACTTTGATCGAAAGAAAGCACAAAGGATTAGATGAAGGCTAAGACGGTAAAACCACTTAATAAGAATTAAAATAGATAAGCACACTAAAATTTTCCTTCGAGAAACCTTTAGTCTCAGATTTCTTGTATTTATAATGGAAGCAAAGATCAGTGTTTCTGTTTGATGAACTACTTAGGAGTGAATGTTGGACCATTGGAAAATGTGTCACAACTGACCAAGTCTATATCTTTTTACTTATTTTAAAATTACTAGCTTAAGTAATGTGTATTACTTGTTGCCTTTTTTTTTTTCTCTGAGGGTGTAAATTTCTAAAAACCGTATCAGGTTAACTCATCTCTAGGGATAGCTGGCGTGTGTTGGATTCAGAGTAGAGGAGTACATCCGAGCCCGTTTCCCCTTAGAAGAAGGAGGTCCTGCAAACAGGACCTTCCTGTTATCCTGCATAATAACTAAAACCACCCTCTCCTACTTGTGCGCAGTTAAATGTACGCTGTAAGACTGACGACACTTGCGAAACACTACCTTCTCTTAGCTACATCTTATCTCTGTCGTTGGTCCGGCTGGTGTTTCTCTTCTTCTTTCTTTTTAATTACTGTTCGAAGGTAATTATGTACAATATTCCATCCCTCCTTACTTCCCGTCATCTTCGCGATCATCTGTCTGACAGTTACAGGGTTCATACCTATGTCTGTATACATTCTGTTTCTCTCCGCTGTCCATCTATTACACTTCAGCATTGTGTGAATAACAGTATAGTAACATTCATATATAACATTCAGAATAGCATTTATCTGTATCTGCCTTTCTGAATCTATGAAGCTTTGTCCTGAAACATCCATCTGATGTTCTTCAACCACGATGTCCTTCTGCGCCCTTGAGATCTTTAGCCTTCTATCTTGCCTTCTATGGCATGTCATATTTCTGATTTTCACGATACGTATAATTTCCAGATCTTTATTCATACGTTAGATCACGGTGTTGTTTGTAACATGATGGATATAGGAAATTATTGAGCATGCGGCGGTAGCACCACATTTCGAAGGCTTCTAATCGTTTGGATGTTGCCTCCGTCGAGGTCCAGGCTTTGATTCCATTTAAAAGGGTAGCAAATATATAGCATCTCAAGACTCGTGTTCTTATATCAATGTTCAGGTGCATATTACATAAAATCTTCCTGAGGCGATTGAAGACAGCTCTCGCCTTTTCTATACATATTATTTCCTGTGAGTGGTCCCATTCCTTTTTTAGGCTGCATCCAAGATATATAATTTTGTCGACTATTTTCAAGGGTTTATTATTAGCTGTGAAATGGTGCTGTATTACGTCGTTTTTACTTATTAAAAGAATTTTGGTCTTCTTACAGTTTAATTTCATGCCGTATCTGTCACAGGCTTCCACTACACGGTCTATTAATGTTTGCATATCCTCCGCATTATCAGTAATCAAAACCGTATCATCCGCATATCTTAAATTGTTTATGATTTCACCATTGATTTTTATACCTTCTCTTAAACCATCAATAGCTTCCCTGAACAGTATTTCCGAGTAAGTATTGAACAAAGTCGGTGACAAAATGCAGCCCTGACGTACTCCCCGTTTTATCGTGAATTCTTGTGAGGTTTCTGTCTACTCATACAGTTGCCCTTTGCTGTAAGTATAAATTTTTAATTAGGCGTAAATCTTTCAATAAGCATGAGTAGACTTCGTAATTTACGTCTCGAGCTCTTTGTATCAATACTCGTATGGAAAATAGGGCCTCTCGCGTTCCCAGTCCGCTTCTAAACCCAAACTGAACACTGCTAATGTTTTCTTCAAGTTTTCCATATATGCGAGAGTGAATAACAGAAAGAAGGATTTTGAGTGCATGACTAATTATGCTTAATTATGTACTCAGAGCATCTAATGGCATTGTTATGCTCGTCTAGTATTAAGTTATGACTTCGTGATCCCTTTCCTCCCGTTAAGTTTTTGATCTTTTTATGTAGGTTAAAAGTGTCATTCTTCTGTTCTAGGCATTCTATTTACATGTATTGATCTTGTAGCCATGATTATTTTGTAGATATGTAGATTGTAGATATCCTCATCCAACTTGTCACAGAGTTCTCTCCAATGCCTCCTTTTTTCTGTAGGAATTTTTCTGTAGAGTTCTCTTTCATGCGCGGTATTATATTACTTGCTGCCTAAGTTTTGGTAAATCCTTAAGAGTACATTTTTATTTATTTTCAGTTCAAATCAGTCACTACTAACAAAATAGTACTTTTTTCTTAATGATTTAAAAATTATGAATTTGCGTAGGCAAATAATAATTACACATAGGTACGTATCTATTGTTTAATCTTTTAACAATTTTAAAATTACCATTTGCTTGGGCCAATAGAATTACACTATGTATAATACTTATTGCGTGCGTTGTGGTGAATTGTGAGAAGCGAATTTTTAGTATTTCGCTATTTGAAAATGAGTCTTTACAGACAGATCAGTTAAAAAAAGATTGTCGATAGCGAAATATAAGCGATACATTGACCTGGTGGATGGAAATTATGTATAAATGGAAAACAGTACAAGAAATTATTACCACTTTTCCTAGAGCACATTGTACGTTCACCAGCAACATAGCCTTTATGGCTAAAAATCAATATTTCATTATATACATAATCACTAAAAATCGCAGAACGTCAATATCACAGAACAAAAATAGTAAAAAATCCTAATCTAAAAGATCGATAAAACCTTTCTTGAAATCTTCGCCAACCATTGTTTCAAACTGTTTGGGAGAATCTCTATATCAGTTCTTCTATTTTCGTAGATATAACCTAAAGAAAAACAATATTAAACAAAATAATAAGATGTTTGGCAAATATTTACCTATAAATCGATGTATTTTTTGTGTTTCTTGTTATGTACAGAAAGATCTGAGGAAGTAGTAAACTTTTTATCGCACAAAGAGCACGAATATGGTCTTTCACCAGTATGTATCCGCATGTGAACCTTCAAGCTCGACGATTGAGTGAATTTCTTGCCACAGACGAAACAAGGGTATGGTTTTTCACCTGTATGAGTCCGCATATGTTTCAATAGGTATTGAGATCTATAAAAATATGTTTTTATATTAATAATAATATAATCAAGCGACTATAATTATAGAAACTACAGGATCTAGCTCATAATGTTTTTTTTTTCCTTTTATCATATCGTTTTGCAAATTTCCATCACTCTTAAAGTTCTGATTCCGTGTGTTAAAGTGTAAAATGTAAGCGTGACATGTATAAGTGTAAATTATAAGTATGAAGGGTAAAATATAAAAACAACCAAAAGTAAGTTCAGTATCGTACGCCTCGTCTACTACGTTTTTCTTGACTTTTCTTAAATTTTAAACTACATTAAATGTAATAAATATATCTATCGATAATTTGTTTCCTATGTTGACACGAATATGCTATTTCGTCAGCCTTTACACACATAATATGTACCTATAGACTGGAGGGCTAAGTAAATTGCTTGCAACAAACAAAAATAAGAGAACACTTTTCCGTCAGTATGATATAACATTTACCTATTTCAAGAGGTATTGAGTGCTGAATTACCGATGTAATTTCCCGAATTGCCACACTGAAATGGAACTGGGCCGGACACGTCGCCTGAATCAGTGATGAAAGGTGGACGAAGAGATTGCTTGAGTTGAGGCCGAGGTTAAACAAAAGAAGTAGAGGAAGACCCCCTACACGATGGACTGACGATCTCAAGAATATGTCAAGAAATTGGATGAAAACTGCTCAAGACAGAGCACAATGGACAAAAATTAGGGAGGCCTATGTCCAGCAGTGGACGCAAAGGGTTGGGTGATGATGATGATGAGTGCTGAATATTCAACAAAATCGAGTGAGTATAATTAGAAAAAGAACGAATTAATAAATGGAAAACTAATACCAAAACCATTAAATAAGTGTAAACTATAAGCGTAATATAATTGTGAAGTATAAATGTGAAATGTACTTAAGTGTGAAATAAAAGGGTGAAGTGTAAGTGTGAAGCTAAAGTGTAAAATGTAAGTGTGAGATATAAATGTAAATTGCCAGCGTGAAGCGTAAGTGTGAAATATAAGTATGAAGTGTAAATGTAAAATATTAGTGAGAAGAGTAAGTGTAAAGCGTAAGTGAAAAAAAAGGTGTGAAGTGTATACGTGAAGCGTAAGTGTTAAATGTAAATGTGAAATATAAATGTAAAATATAAGCGTGAAGTGTATGCGTGAAGCGTAAGTGTAAGAAGTAAATAAAAATGTGAAATATAAGCATGAAGTGTATGCGTGAAATATAAGTGTGAAGCGTAACTGTAAATTATAAGTGTAAAATTAAACGAAAAGAAATATAAGTGAAATGAAAAGAAGTATGAAAAGAAGTGTGAAATATAAGTTTGAAACGTAAGTGCGAATTATAAGTGTGAAATGAAAAGAACTGCGAAATGAAAGTGCAAAGTATAAGCATAAGGCGTTAGTGTGCAATATAAGTACGAAGTGTAAAAAATGTGAAATATAAGTATGAAATGTAAAAATGTGAAATAAAAGTGTGAAGTGTCAATGTTAAATAAAAACGTGAAATATAAGAGAAGTGTAAATGTTAAAAAAAAGTATAAAATATAAGTGTGAAGTGTAAATCTTAAATATAAATGTGAAATATAAGTGTGAAGTTTAAATGTGAAGTATAAGTGTGATGTATAAGTGTGAAGGGTACGTACGAATTATAAGTGTGAAGTAGAAGTGTGAAATAGAAGTGTGAAATATAAATATAAATTGTAAATGCAGTGTAAATGTGAAATATAAATGTGAAATAAAAGTGTGAAGTAGAAGAGAGAAGTGTAAACGCGAGGTGTGAGTGACAAAATATAAGTGTGAAGTGTAAGTTTGAAATATATGTGTAAAATGTAAATGTGAAATATAAATATAAAGTGTGAAGTTTGAAATATATGTGTAAAATGTAAATGTGAAATATAAATATAAAGTGTAAAGGGTAAGTGCGAATTATAAGTGTGAACTAGAAGTGTGAAATAGAAGAGTGAAATAGAAGTGTGAAATAAAAGTGTGAAATAGAAGTGTGAAATAGAAGTGTGAAATAGAAATGTGAAATAGAAGTGTGAAATAGAAGTGTGAAATAGAAGTGTGAAATAGGAGTGTGAAATAGAAGTGTGAAATAGAAGTGTGAAATAGAAGTGGAAAATATAAATGTGAAGTATAAAAAATGTGAAGTGTAAATGTGAAATATAAATGTGAAATATAAGTAAGGAGTGTAAGTGTAAAGCGTAAGTATGGAATGTAATTAAAACGTGTAAATGTTAAGAGTAACTGTAAAGTGTGAAGTGTAAACTAAAATACAGCATGCAAGCTAAAAACAAGTCATTATAGTCCCCTACTGCGAGTGTCTTACTTATTTCTTGATGTATAAATCAAAAAGTCCTTCCATTTAATAAAGTAGATGATAAAGTTTTGATATCTTACCTAGTAAAAGGTTTATTGCATATCGTACACCTGGACAGATTTTCTCCTGTGTGTGTCCGTGTATGTTCCGCCAAATACGCCGCCGACGTAAACTTTTTATCGCAAGTGACGCAGCTTAGCTTCTCTCCGGTGTGTTTCATCATATGAGACTGCAATTCTGAGGCGTAGTTGCAGACCTTGTTGCACACCGAGCACTTGTATGGTTGTCGGCCGGTGTGCTCGCGCATATGGACGGTCAGTTGGGAAGAATGGGTGAATTTTGTATCACAAACCTAGACAATAAATTTGTATTTAAAAAATTTGAGTTTTAAGTATGAAAGTTGACATTTGATAGAGCTCCGTCTCATTATAATTTACTTCATGTATGTCGATTTTACTTTATTATTTTAGATTCATATCGGTAATTCTTAAAGTTGTGGGTTCTTGTGGTTCTTAAATTCTTAAATCGTGGGTCAAGACAGATAGTAAACTGTTAAAATTGACTGTCATGTCAATCTAAAATCCGACAAAGAGGTCGGATATGGAGGAAGGAATGATATAGAAAATTAAAGAATACAAAAAACACAGAAACTCTTTGAAAAGATTCACAATTTAGGATTTTATTGATGATGTTCACATCAAAAAATGTCTTGAAACTGTTGAATATTAAAAAACTTACCTTGCAAGTAAATTTCTCTCCGGTATGCTTCTTAATATGCACATTCAGATGAGAAGATTGAGTAAAAGTCTTCTCGCAGATATTGCAAGAATATGGTCGTTCGCCAGTGTGAGTCTTAATGTGTGAATTCAAGATGTACGTACTTGCGAACCTTTTGTTACACATGGAACACTCGTACGGTTTTTCGCCGGTGTGCGTTCGCATATGAACCTACAAAAAAAGACGAAGTTACTTTATTATAAATTCTTGTTTAGAATGCTTCCTTGTATGTCGGCATATGTACGTCAACTCTTATATTTTCTGTAATTATGCTGCTAGTCCGAAAATGAGACAAATATTCATGGGAATTTATACAGTAAAATCATTTAGTATAACTGTTTGTGTACATTTTTCAAATTGAATAATATTCAGTGAAATAGATAGTGCAATTCCGTTATTTACCTTTAAATCTGCGGAAGTTAGGCACCGCCTATCGCAACAGGTGCACGCGTACGGTTTTTCTCCCGTATGCGACTTCATATGCATCGTAAGCTCCCCTTTAATGGTGAACCGTTTGTTGCAGACCGCGCATTGGTAAGGTTTCTCGCCGGTGTGCCGACGAACATGTTCCCGAAGGTGCGAAGAGTGATAAAACCTGCAATAATTAACATATTTTTATGATATCACCGTGCTACGCCTATATATGACGAATATGTCAATTTTATTTTTATTATATCATTTTTCTCGCCTATAGGCACCGAAACGTCAACGATTTGTGGATGGTTCTGACTATTACGACATTAGTCAGTTCCAAATAATATTTAGGAGTAAATTAAGTGGGGGATAAAGGGGTAGAATGCGAAAACATGGAGTTGAATCCAGTTTACTCCAATTAGCCCCTTCTACTCAAATCCGACTCTCACCTTCATGCTGGTGTCCGAGTAACCCAACTGGAGATCCGGTATCCAACCCGGATGGAAAGTTGGGTCGGGAACTGACGAGAGCGGGTAAAATGGCCCTCCCAAAAGGGATTTGGCGTTGGGTTAACTACCCAACCCTATAAAAATCCTTTTGTTATGAGAGCTACAAAGAAAGAAATTGGACTGTCTAACCTACGACGAACTCGCAAACGAAATAAGGATAATCATTTAAAAATTTGCACATGAAACGTAAGAAGCTTTTATCAGCCTGGAGCTGTAGCAATATTTTAGAATTAATGATGGAAAGTCAGCAACTGATCTGTTTGCTACATATGCTAGCGGCAGCTGTTCATCGGCGAGCAATGGTCGTAGATACTGTTGCTTTAGTTTATAAAAAAATGTTAAAATTAAAAGTGAAATTTGAATTTAAATTTAATGTGTGGAAATTGAATTATAAAATAGTCGTGCCCAGAGCGCCACTTTATTTATACAGTTAAGTAATACTTCACCAAACAAAGAAAAATGAAGACTGCGATTAAATGATTTAACTCTTACTTACCAAAAAAAACTAATATTACCAAAATTGCAAAATTGTAGACTCCAAAATCAAAACACAGATTCAACTAACAAAAGCTTGTTTTATTTTATTTTAATTAAATAGAAATTTAACAAATTATTGAAAAATAGCAAATATTTAATTGAGCCGTAAGTTAAGTACATAAAAAAATAATAGTCAATATGACATTGCAAAGTGACCTTCAGATTGAAAGTTTAAAAAAAATAACATTTTATAAATGTACTTAGTAATTGGAAAATTATATTAATATTTAAACAATTAAATATATATACCTAACTATGTGAGTTAGTGGTATAGTATTAAAAAAATTATAACTCATTACTTTGATTCTTGAAAAAAAATTATATTATACCTAGTACCTTTTACAGCTATAAGGGTTTACACTTTATTGAAATATTTTATTAAAAATACTTAAAGAAAAAATATTTAAGCCACTATTTGCGGTATATCATAAAACAAAATAACTTTCTGTAAGAGATTATCTTTTAAAAAAATTAAAAAATTTAAAAAAAAAACCTGTTCGCAAGCCTACTATTCCCAAAGCAGCTTAGGTGGTAGAGGTTGATTTGGAGAAGTTTGAAGGAGTCCTGGAGGCAATTTAAAGTTGGAGCAGAGAACAATGGCTCGAACACGAACACATGGCCATGCTTTCAGGAAGCAAAAATCGAGAAGTCTTTTTGGGATTGAAGTGATGTTGGTGGTAACTAACTGATTTTTCCACAGCCCTATTATCGCCGACAAATTGGAGGCATCAGGGACTATAACTGGTGGTTGGACCCACGTGTGGTTGCACAGGATTGAGGAGCAGAATAAGTTACCCCGAAAATGGTAATTCCTCGAAAAGGAATAGGCTTCCAGCCTCTCGAAATTTAGGGGACACAAGGCAACTAAACCCGACAAAAATGCAAAAGCCTTTTCATTGCGGCCATGGCTTAATATCAAGCCAAAAATTTTTACCCCTAAATAGGAAGTGATGATTTGATGACTAATGTCAGAGACAAACAGAAGACCAATCTCATAGAGAAAAATTCCCTAGGTTAATTAACAGTCTATGGTAAATTTGGGCCTTAGAACAACGACTTTCTTGAAAAACCGCCTAAATTATAAGCCGACAATCATAGATTCTCGAACAGTGAGACGACCTTACTCGAAGCAATAAACCGAAGACAACAGGTGTTTAACGATCGATACATTTGTTGACATTTTTCACAAAGTCAAAACAGCTGGCCGAGAAGAATAAAACAATTTAACTTTTCGTTGAAAATTAATAATTATGTACACCTTCTACAAAATAGAGAGGCAGAAAGGTAAGTCATTTATTACATGATATTCGACATTACATAATTAACATTAACTTTATTTTCAGATTGGTGAAGATGGATTATATTTTGTTACTAAAAATCAAATTTCAACTACCAGAACCCAGAAACTAGAAGTTTAATCTATAAAATTAAATATATACTTCCATCCATATCTGTACACTAGTTATTTAAATGAATAAAGTATGTTCATGACTACTTAATATTTATTGTGTTTATAGTAAAAACCAGGTAAGCAATTTTTAACTGCTACAGAGCCACGGCTCTGCCATGGATAATGAAAGAGGTGCTCTCTGCTCTCAAAAAGAGGATAATGAAAAAGACATGTTCTATGAGGCACTAGACCGAGAGTGCGATGAGTGCTCAAAAAATGACATCAAAATAATACGGGAGACTTTAATGCCAAAGTCGGAAGAGAGAATATATTTTCGCCCACCATCGGAAAGGAGAGCCTACACGTAGACTCTAATGAAAACGGTCTCAGAATCATAAACTTTGCGATGTCTAAGAACATGGTAATAGCTGAGACAAGATTCCCCCATAAAGATATACATAAGGGAACTTGGAAATCTCCTGATAATGAAACGATTAACCAAATTGATCACATAATCATCGATGCAAGACACTGCTCTAACTTATTATCGTGTATATATACATACATACATACATATATATATATATATATATATATATATATATATATATATATATATAGAAAAGAAATTTAATCTTTGCAGATAAGTTAAATAGTAAACTCTTAAATATTGGGGAAATCTTCAAAAAAAAACTCTAATGTGTATCAATTATTTCACCTAACGTTTTCGCCAAAGAGAATTTGGCTTCTTCAGGGCTGAAAGAGAATAAATTATAATTAATTAGCTACCATATATTATCTAATAAAAAACATTTACCTTACCGTGAAATTTTAGAAATGTCGAGTTATGATGTTAAAAAACTTTAGCTAGTAACAACATAGTGGTGTTCTTTTGTTACTATGTGCAAAAAAGTTTATTTGTGAACGTTGGAAATGTATGGTAGCTTTGAACTTAAAACGTAAAGGTTTACCCAAGGACAATCGAAAAACCCAATGTAACTACATTTAAAGGAAGTAATTCTTTGAATTGTCGGCAATAACTAAATTTTTAATTGTTGTAAAGTTTGAATGTGAGCTTCTGTTTTCATAGAACGCAAGCGCCGAAACAATTACAAGTAGTTCTTTTCTAGATCAAAATTGTAGCATTGATTTTAGTTCATGGATATCTGTGCTTATTAGTTCTATGTCGTCTGAGAAACGCAAATGGTCAAGATATACTCCATCTATTTTTAATCCCTTTTTGGCCCAATTTAGTTTTTTTGAAGACATTTTCTAATGCCAAAGTAAATAACTTGGGTGAGATGGTGTCGCCCTGTCTCATACCTTTGCTGAGGTCTATTTTGATAGTTTCCAGATCATCATTTATTTTTACGTGAGCACGTAGCACCATCGTATATATTCTTAAGAAGGCAGTATATTTTGAATCTACTCTGGCGTCGTCCAATGCTGTTAAGAAAGCCAATTTCTTGATACTGTCGAATGCTTTATGATAATCGACAAATGCCACATGTAGTGGTATGTTGTACTCTATTGTTTTTTCAATAACTGTCCGGATTGTTTGCAAGTGATCGATAGTGCAAAAACCCTTACAAAAGCCTGCTTGCTCCGCTGGTTGGTATGCATCTAGCTTAGCTGTCAATATATTTGTTATTATTCGGATTAGTAGTTTGTAAAGGTGTGACAGTAAGCTTATTGGTCGGTAGTTTTCTATATTTGCGGCGTCCCCTTTTTTATGGAGTCGAATGACTTCCGCATTATTTCATGGTATTAATTGGTATTTATTCAGTAATGCTCTCATTGCCTCATCTAATGCAGTGCCTCCCATTTTTAGCATATCTGAAGTCTCTTAATGTTGGTACCAAGGTATGTGTAGCTGTCCACTCTGTCAATTGGATGTTGGTTAACCAAAAGCTGTGTATTTAATATTTCGCGCTTACTGACTACCATGTACTTTGTTTTCTTCGTATTAAGATCAAGTCCGTGTTCTCTACTTATATCTGATATACGCGACATTATTCTTTGCAAACCGCCCAGACTATCTGCAAAAACTACTGCGTCGTCGGCATATCTAATGTTGTTTAAACGCATTCCGTTGACTAATACGCCTTCTTGTAGTTCTCCTAGCGCTTGCTCGAAGATATATTCAGTATATATTAAATAACAATGACTTGATTCTATACCAGCTCTAAAATCACGGGATTGCCACTTCTGCCATACACACCGTACCGAAGGTTTGCTTCTCCGCCGTGGTCTTCATCCGTAACCCTGGACAAGGGACCCTAAACAGGTGCTAGTTTCCCGGTTCAAAGGAACGATTCCTTTTCCCTGATAGGACTGTCCGAAGAGTTCCTATCCATTACCCACAAAGCTTAATATATACAAAAAGGGTGATCCTAAATTAATTAATAACTATAGACCAATTAGCCTTGTATGTTCCTTTTCAAAAATCTTAGAAATGACTATGTATAGGCGGATAACAGAATTTTTAACAAAATGTCATATTATTAGTGCAAATCAGCATGGTTATCAACAGGGAAAATCAACTCAGACTGCGATTTTTCAATTTGTCTGGGATATTTTGAAATGTACTGAGATTGGTCATATGGCTTTGGGTCTGTTTTTGGACCTATCAAAGGCATATGACTGTTTAGTGCATGACATATTATTTGATAAATTGGAGAAATATGGTATACGTGGACCAGCATTGAACTGGTTTAAGTCCTACTTGGCAAATAGGAGACATTTTGTAAAAATACATAAAAACACTGAAATAGGCATCTCATCTGAAAGCACTATCAATATTGGAGTACCACAAGGAAGTGTGATTGGTCCTTTACTGTTTGTGATCTATATCAATGATCTTCATGGTCAAGTGGCTAATACTACTTCCAGCATAAAAAATTATGCAGATGATACAAACATTGTAGTCAGTGGTAAAGACATCGCGTTAATGCTAGTTTAGAGTTCCAGAAAGCTAAAGACTGGTTTTCTATGAATAGGTTTGTTTTGAATCAAAATAAAACAGATTTTCTTTTGTTTAATTTTGTTTAAGACAAATTATGCACATTCAGATATGCCAAACAGTATTATTGTAAATAATGACACTTTAAATATTAGCACCAGTACCAAATTTTTAGGATTATATATTGACAGTTTTTTATGTTGGGATAAACATGTTGACCAGTTATTTTGTGTAGTATAGTCTTTGAGTAAAGTGATTTACAGCTTTAGAGTTCTAAAAAAATACATGAATAGTAACTCATTAAAAACAGTGTATCATGCTAATTTTGAAGCAAAATTTAGATATGGTCTAATAAATTTTGGCCACAGTAGGGACATAAATAATGTATTTCTGGTTCATAAAAAAATAATCAGAGTTATGTTTGACTTAAAAAGTAGGGAATCATGTAGAGGGCATTTTAGGAGTAATAATATTTTAACAGTTTACGCTGTATTTATTCAAGAATGCTTACTGTTTCTATATAAAAATAAAATACTCTTTAGGAACTTTGAGCCCAATAGTATAGTAAATACCAGGTTATATAATTATAAAATTCCAATACACAGGTTAAGTATAACAGAAAAAAACGCTCTTTATTGGTGCATCCAATTTTTTAATAAACTGCCTGAACCTATTAAAAGGGAGGAAAGATTAAGTTTGTATAAACATCAAATATTTAAATTACTGGTAGCTCTTGAGCCATATTCTGTGGAGGACTATTTGTATATGTAACGGTTAGGAATAAGTAAATAATATTTTCGTTTGTGACACTGTTTTTTTTAAATAATTTTATGTTCACGGAATGTATATTATTTTCTGAAAATAAAGATATTGTTATGTTATGTTATAGAAGACCTTAATTAAACCGGTTTTGATATATGGGGCTGAAACATGGACCTTATCTCAAAATGATAAAAGACTTCTTGGTATTTTTGAGAGAAAAATTCTTGGAAAGATTTTTGGGGCCGTAAATGAAAATGGACTATGGCGTCGAAGATACAGCTTTGAACTATATCAGTTATACACCGATCCAGATATTGTGAAATTCGTTAAAGTGCAGAGACAGATGGGCTGGACACATTGCTAGGATGTCAGATCACGATAACGAAGAGATTAACATTTTCAAAACCAGAGCACAAGAAGCAGAGGACGACCACGAATGAGATGGATTGATAATGTGGAAGATATACAGATTCTAAGGGTTAGAAGATGCAGGGAAGTTGCCAGGAATCGACAGGAGTGACGACTTCTGTGTGAGCAGGCCAAGATCCACAACAGATTGTCGAGCCACTTATGATGATGATGATGAGTCAATTAAGTTTAACTTCCGTTAGTATACAGTAGTTTTGTTCCAGGACAATGTTTATGAAAGTTCAAATAATTAAAAAGAAAAACATATTTAACACATAAACATACCTTTTAACACAGTATTGACACTCGAAAGGCTTTTCTCCTGTATGAGTCCTCATATGGATCCTCAAATTAGATTTTTTCTTGTAGCTCTTTCCACATTCTTTACAAGGATATCCAGAAGTATCTGATTCTTGTTTTAATTCGGTTTTGTCGATTTGAGGTGTCACTTGTACTCCTTTGAAAACAAATCATAATGAATATCTATATAAAGTCCCAAAAATAGAATCATATTATGTTTTAATTTTAGTTACTGCTAGAAAAAAGATTCAAATCACAATTTGTTCATAGAAGAGCCAGGTAGATCTCCAGAACTTACACTATTAGAGTTGTTATTGAGGAACAGTTAAAAATGAACTATATATAATAATAAAACCAATAGTAGTGAATCAATTCAGCTCAAACTTCCAATTTTGTAGTAACGCAATTTAAAGCAAAAGAAAATAAAAAAAGAAAATTGTGATTGATTTCACCAATAAAGCAATTAAGGTTTAATTTTTTTGTAAAATTCGACAATTATTACTTTTTTTTTATTATGACACAATCTTTAGTAATCAAAACACAAATAAAGTTCTATAAGCTAATTTGTTGGCTGCAGAGCAAGGGGCTTCTATTGGCGTGGTGAGGTCTTCTCCAGTGACAAGACCACTTTAACCGTTTTTCAGGTCAGCTGGCCAGTTCCTTTTGAGTCTCCTATTGGGTTGGTGTTCTAGCAGAGGTTGGAGTAAGGGGTTACTATGTGATTCCAGTGCTTCATGGTGCTTTATGGCGTAATTAGTGATTACATCCTGTACAAACAGGATTCTTGGGTCTTCATAAAGTGTTAGGTTTGATACATACCAAGGTGCATCAGCTATCGTTCGGAGTATTTTTGATTGGCATCTTTGAATTATGGCTGTGTTTGACTTGCTCGCACATCCCCAGAGTTGGATTCCATACGTCCAAATAGGTTTTATAACGGTTTTGTATACAAGGATTTTGTTTTCAAGGCTCAGTTTCAATTTCCTGCCTTCTAACCAGTTTAAATCTTTCATTCTTAGGTCAATTTGTTTCCGCTTCTTGAGAATATGTTCTTTCCAGGTGAGTTTTGAGTCAAGATGTATTCCTAGATATTTAATGCTAGAGGATTGGGGAAGTTGGATATTGTTAAGTGAAACTGGGGGACACAGGTCTCTTCTCAAGGTAAAAGTTATTTGTACTGATTTTGTTTCATTCATTTTAATTCTCCACTTGTAAGACCATGTCTCGATTTCATTCCGTTATACAATTGGATTTTCGTCGGCTGCAAGGATGACAGCATCATCTGCAAACGTGCCAGTGATGGTTTCATTAGTAGACAGTAGATCTGCTGTGTACAGCAGATATAATATTGGTCCAAGAACGCTGCCCTGTGGAACACCAGATTTTATAGAAAAATTATTGGAATTACTTTCATTCACTCTTGTTCGGAATTCTCTCCCACTCAGATAGGATTTAACAGTTTCAGGTATGTGATGGGTAAATATTTCTTGATTTTGAAAATCAGGCCTGTGTGCCAAACCTTATCAAAGGCTTGACTAACATCTAGAAAAGCAGCTGCGCAGTAGTGTTTGCTTTCACAAACAGTAACTTTTCAAGTATTTTGGATACAACTGATCCTTAGTAGGCTTATTGGCCTATACATTGAAACCTCGTTTGGATTTTTTCCTGCTTTTAGGATTAGTATTACTTCAGCGATTTTAAAGAGCTTTGGCCAGTAGTTTAATGGTAGAATAGCATTGAAGATGAGAGTAATCAGTATGATTCCTTTATCTGGTAGTTCCTTCATCAGCTTGGGTGTTATATTGTCCAACCCAGGAGCTTCTTGTTAAACTTCGTTTTTGGTTAGTGGTCTGATTACTGGTATGTTCTCTGGAATGTTATTTATGTAACTTTCAATTTTAATATCTGGAGCGTCTTTGTTGATAGTAAATACTTGAGCTAGGTGCTCGGCAAATAACGTTGTTTTTTCTTCATCACTTCTGGCCCACTGTAGTGTTGGTCCCTGTTCGTTTCTAATTGGAGGTACCAGAGTCTTTGATTTTTTGGAGCTTTTGATCGGTTTCCATATTGAGTTATCATACCGGTTTAGATTTGTTATGTAGTTTGTAAATGCCTCTTTAAGTTTGGATTTTAGATGATTGCTTAGCCTGTTTAATGTAGTCTTGTCTGCTGGGGCATGGGTTTGGTGCCATTTGATCCTAGCTTTCCTTTTTTGAGCTACCAACTTTTTAATTTTATATTGTTCTGAAGCTATTTTGTTGTGACATTCTAAATTAATTACTATTTAACTGGGAATAAGCCACAATTAAAGATAAAAATACGTTTATTGACGTTTCAATTTCCAATTCGGAAATCGTTCTCAAAATACAAACAGTAAATATGTCAATAAACATATTTTTATCTTTAATTGTGGCTTATTCCCAGTTAAATAGTAATTAATTTTTAATTTTAGCTGGGATGTATTGGGCGAGGCTTACTTGTCTTGGAGGATGACTAATATCTTCTAATTTGCTGCGGTATTTTTCTCAGTTAGTTCTCCCAGTGTGTAGCCTTGGTGTGGCCGTTTTGTAGACTATAAAGCTGCTGATGGTTGCTATAATTGGGGAGTGGTCAGATGGAAGATCATAGTTCGGCATGTAACCAGGAGAGATGCCCTGAGTGCTAAATAGATCCAGCAGATCAGGTGTTTTGTTTGGATATGTTGGCCAGCATGTAGGAGAGCCTGTTGGCAAAGGATGGTAGTTGATTTCATGTATTGGGCTTACTTGTTCTCTGCCTTTAGTTGTTGAGACGAGATCCAAATAATATATGTTTGCTGTTGAAGTCTCCCCCTGCAATAAATTTAAGTCCTAGAGTTTCAAAGAAGTTTTTGAAGTCTTCTTGTATCGGGTTGGACAGTAGACTGCTGCGACTGTTAGTTTGTAAGACCTCATACTGACTTTGATAACTGTAGCTTGCAAGCAATTTTCAACATACTTTGGTAGTTCTGCATGTTTAATAGTATTTTTTTATCAGAATAGCTGATCCAGCGTGGGCTGTATTGTCTGGGTGGTTTGAGGAACAAGTTGTGTAGTGGGATATCTTGAAAATTATTACTTGAAGAAAATATCTCCAAATGAATGGATTTGCAGAATAGAGTCGGTTGAAGAGCCAGCTATGTCACCAGGGTTTACACCATGAGAGTTCTTGTTATGGCACCATTAAAATGAACTATATACATATACCATACTGATACAGTTCTTCAAATCACACCGATTTTAGTTGAAATATTCAACTCAACTTTTGGAATAACTTCAATAATAATGTGTTTATTTTTACTCACCTGTAGTTCTCTTAATGACTTGTCTGTATGGAACAGCTACAAAATTGGGAGGTGATACATCTGGTTGGTGAATGGTCTGTATGGGTGCGATAACAATATTGTGAAGCTCCCCATTTTGCTCAACTTGTTCGGAATTTTCTATTTCTAACTGTTGTTCTATTTCTTCAGTTTGGAGACTCTGGTGGATCATCTGTAAGAGAATTATTCTAAAATAAATAAAACTAGAATGTTACACAAATATGTCTTGGAAAGTGGAAAAAAGAACCAATAGATCCTGGCTTGTTCTAGGATTTTCCGCTATTCTGTTCTGTTCCTTGCTTTGTTTTTCCAGTTGGTAATCTTAAGTGTTTTCAGATCTTGTTCGACTTGTTCCATATATCTAACTTTGGATCTTCTGTTTGACCTTCTCCCTACTGGTGTTTGCTTCATTTTCTGTTTTGGTGTTTCAGTCTCCAACATCCGTTCAACATGACCCATCCAGCGCAGACGTCCGATCTTTATGGATGTTACGATCTCGGGTTAATTGTATGCTGTGTATATTTCAAAGTTATATCTTCTGCGCCATATGTAATTTTCTTTTACCCCCTTATATATGTGTCTAAGGATTTTTTGTTCAAACGTACCTAATAGGTTCTCATCGCTTTTCAACAGTGTCCATGTCTCTAATCCATTCCGGTTTTATCAGGGTTTAGTATATTTTGCATTTACTTTTTCTTGTGATGTTGTTAGATGTTAGATGTTTAATTAGTCCATTATATGTTTTATTACCGATATGTATTCTTCTCTTAACTTCTTCACTGACATTGTTATCTGTGGTAACTAGTGAACCTAGATTTGTAAAAATTTTCACGCTTTCTATGATATAGTCTCCTATTGTCAGATTCTGTAGGTTTCTTTGGTCTGTTGATTTGCTGGCCTTCATGCATTTGGTTTTTATTCCGTTAATGTTTAGGCCACTGTTTTGTACCACTCTTTCTATAGCATTAAATGCTTCTATCATCTCTCTTTCGCTTCTGGCTATGATATGAACATCATCTGCAAATGCCAATATTTGTACACTTTTTGTTATTATTGTTCCTCTCGTGTTGACTGTTGGAATATTAAACTCTTTCAGTGCATAGATCAGAAATTCTCGATGGATGCTATCATAGGCACTCTCAAAATCAATGAAAAGATGACGTGTGTCTATATTAAATTCACCAGTCTTCTCCAAGATTTGCCTCAAGACGAAGATCTGATCTATTGTGGACTTCTACCTGCAGAAACCACATTGATATCCCCCAACTATTTGTTCCACATATGGTCTCAATATATCATACACAATATTGGACAGTATTTTATATGCCACAGTTAGTAGCGTTATTGCCCGGTAGTTTTTACATTGAAGCTGATCTCCCTTTTTATGTAGTGGGATAATTAATCCGGTATTCCAGTATTGTGGCAGTATATTTATTATTCCATATGTTCACTATTAGTTCGTGTATTGCATTCAATTGGGAGTCACCCCTTTCCTTTATTAATTCTGCGCTAATGTTGTCTAATCCAGGTGACTTGTTGTTTTTCAGTCTGGTAACTGATTCTTGCATTTCAGCTACTGAAGGGGAGGTTGTTTCTCTGGTATCCGTTTGATCCAGTATATTTCCATCATATAGTGGATCTTCGGTTTTTTAAACTTTTCTTTGAAGAATACTGTCCATCTTTGTAGTATTTCACTCTGGAGAGTTACTATATCTCCTTCTTTGTCTCTGCACATCATTGCTCTTGGTTTAAATTCTTTTCCACTTTTGTTAAGTTTGTAATAAATAACGCTTCACTTATGATATCGTATGGTACATTAATTTAAAACACTACTGTACACTCTTACAATGTTACTTATCTTAAATGTAAAAGTACTTAGTTGACGTTGTGCCAATATGTGTTATATTGACTTGCCATCTTGACGTCAATTTAGTTCTGGTCCCTGAGATAATAATTGTTGTCTCTTTTATAATAGTCCTTGCTATATCAGCAGTCATTCATTAGTGGGTCAAGTTTGTTTTGAGGCTATTTTTTACGAATGTCCTCGATTCGAATTATTAAACATATTTTATATAAACAAATGTGAAATGTGTTACACTTTTCTTTTAACTTATTCTTTATATGAATTGTAATATTTTAGGGATAATACCATAAGTTTTTGGTAGAATTTTCTGGTTTCTGATGGTTTATTTAGTTCTTCCATTTCTTGGAGTTCTTTTTCTATGTGTTCTCTTTTCTTTCTGCGATGTATTTTCTTCTCTTCCCTCCTTAGCATTCTATATTCCTCCTCTGCCTTTCGTTTTCTATGTTGTTGTAGTAGTTGATATGCATTATTTTTCCTCTCTGTTATGTTATGACACTTTTCCTCGAACCACTATCCTTCAGTTGATTTGAGCTTTTTTTGTAGACTCTTTGGCCACATCTTGTATGATGTTTTTACATGGGTCCCATTCTCTGTTTATATCCTCGTGCTTTTGTCTGTTTTCTAGCCTTCCTTTTATATATTCTTTGTATTTTCCTGTTGTCTGCAAGTTTTTTTACTGTAACCCCATCTGGAGATCTCCATGTTCCCTTGTGAATATTTTCTGGAAGCATGTGCTGGCAATGACCATGTTAAGGGAGTTGCTAGATTTATTAGTCTGATGCCATTGTCATCAGATACCTCATAAAGGCTGTGCTTACCTATAGTTGCTAGGCATTGTTGCTCTTTTCCTATTTTTGAGTTGAGATCACCATAAGTTCCCAACCATTGTCTACCATGAAAATCGATGTAGTCATGTATGATCATCATATATAAATTTGGAACACTAGAAAACCTATAATTTGAGTTAGCTCAGTTAACTTTTAGAATATATACTTTAAATCTATATACTTTAAATCATAATAGATCTTATGTGTTTTGGTTCAATTTTTGTGCTTCAATTACATTTCTACTTGTACTTAAACTGTAGTGTGTTATCAACATCAATACAGCAAATAGTTCTAAATATCCATGTAGACCCTTTTGAGTTGCCAACCCTGAATATTTCAACATATTACACACAGTTTGAATGAATTATCATTTTATACACTTAAAACTTTTACTACTGACTTAAAGTCCATAAATACAATTATGGATTATACCAGTATTAGAATTTATTATGTTTATGAATGGCAGCTCTTCTAACATTTTTAACACAAAACTTCAGTATCTATAATATGACTCATTTTCATAATGCAACATTACTTACTTGTACATTTGGATGACTTTGTTGGTGTGTCTGGTAATGTATTTGAGGTTCAGTCTGGCAGTGATGTTCTTCTTCCAACAAAATAGCTTGTTCTGGTTGTGATTCAGCAATATTTCTATCATCAGTCTTACTTATAAACTCTAAAAATATCAAAAATCAGAATTAGGTCTACACATACTGTGAATTATTAATAAAAACTTATGTTTTATAATAAACTATAATACAATAATATGCTTGGTCATCTTTATATACTCACACTAACCGAATTCACCCTAACAATGGTTAAAAACTTACCTATACTGGTGACAGCACCTTGGGGACTTGCACTCCTCTCTTCACATTGTTTGATTTCATTTTGAAGCAGATCCTCTTGTTTCGTAAGTACTTCGTCACTGTCTAGGAAGTGTTTTAAATGAATATACTCAGAATTTTGATGTTGTTCAGTCAACAAAGCAGTTGTTTCACTAGCAGCCGTGGCAGCAATTGAAAATTCAAACTTTGTAGGTGTGGATAGTGTACGGGTTTCAACAGATATATCTTGCTGTTTTGAGTCATCTTGGGTACATAGATATCTAAAAAGTATAGGTACAATAACAATAAGGTACATATTTTAAAATTTTAGACTTGAAGGAAGGTACTCAAAAATCTACCTACTGATGTAGAAATTTCAATCTTTTCTTACCTATTTATAGTGGCATCTGATTGAAGACAAACGATTCGAAAGTCATAAGCAACTCTAAGACGTTCAATACACACCGAACATATTAAAGAGGGTACCCTTTCCTTTAACCATGACTAAAAACAACAACAGAAGTTTAAACTATTACTGAGTTTATTTAGAACATAAAGTTACTTACTACTTCTGAGACACAGGCCAAAAGTTTGTCATAGAAGCTAACAGAATCAGTATCTTGTAGTTCAGTAGATGTAAGGGCGCAATCTATCCTCAGGCAAGTTCTGCAACAGTCTGAAACGTTCACTGTGTTTTCCATTGTAAAATTAAATGTCTTATCTAATAATAATTTTATTTTTTATAAATACAAACACTAATACATTATAATAAGCTAAACTCCCACGGGCCAATCAGCTGACGGCAGACGGTCTAGCCAGAGAACTACGAACGCATGTGTTCGTATGTTCTCTGGTCTAGCCAGCCGTCAATTATCCCGTCAAGAGCCGGCGGTAAATTTAAATTGTCTGAAATTTAAATGGAAGCCAGATTTTTTATCGACTTTTCTTTGAATTTTGATTATTATTCTCGAAAGTAGTTATCCCTGTAATGATTTTATACATTTGTTCTATTTCTACCTTTTACTCTGTACAAGACAAAAAAAAATAAAATACAAAATTTCAAAATTGCCGCTGAAAGGAAGGTTAGATAATTGGCGTTGTGAAACGTGCTACTTATTTCATTGGTGAATAAACTATGGTGAAAAATAATAAGATACCCAATTTTAGAGTTCTATACACATAGAAATATTTTAAAAGAGAAAATATTGTTAAATTTGATAAAATTGAGAAAATAATTGTTGAAAATGTAAGTTCTAAAAAAGATTGTGTGCTTGTAAAATACATTAACACAGGCCGCATGCGTAGTAAAAAAAGTTCAAATGTCATTCTTTGGATGAATTTGTTGAAGGCTCTAAAGCGCTAAACCATTAAACATTTTTCATTTTCATTCTTCAAAAACCGTTGTTAACGTCAGTATTATAGAACTTTTCCGATAGTAAGTATAGCTTGAATATCAAACTTTAATATATATTAGTCTTATACCTATATTAATTTATGAAATATTACTATATTAAAAAATATTCAATCAATTTCCAGATTATTCTAGAACCGCATTGTTAATATCTTCCAGTGGCTACAGTAAATTAAAGTGTGATCAAATGGCCTCACCAGTAGATATTTCGCCCAATAAAGACGGCGGCGTGTTGAAAGAAATAATCCAGGAAGGTACTGGAGAGGAATTACCACCCCAAGGAAGTAAAGTTACAGTGCATTACACCGGCACCTTGACTGATGGAACCAAATTCGATTCGAGCAGGGATAGGAACGACCCGTTCCAATTTGATTTGGGAAAAGGTACAGTAAACAAATTTAGTCTGTACAGAGAGGACTTACTTAAATATTTACATTTTGTAGGTAATGTAATCAAAGCATGGGATATTGGTGTAGCTACAATGAAGAAAGGAGAGCGGGCCATGTTGACATGTGCCCCTCAATACGCTTACGGTGAAAGCGGAAGTCCTCCAACTATTCCTCCAAATGCTACTCTCAAATTTGATGTAAGTATGACAGTTTTGTTGAGATATCTCTAATTTTGATTAAATTATGTTTTATATGGATTGTTTATTGTGAAGGTTGAAGTATTAAGCTGGAAAGGAGAAGATCTGAGTCCAAATAAAGATGGAGGAATAGAGAGAATCCAAGTCACTGCGGGCGAAGGCTATTCGACTCCTAATGATGGTGCTCAAGTTGAAGGTAAAGGATTTTTGTTTTTAACTTAAATATTTGTGGTTTTTGATAGCTTGTGATAAACAATTTGAAAATAATATTCAATAAAAACAGGATATTTGGTTAGTGGGTATCTTATCAATATTAACTATTTTGATCATATTAATTTTCAGATATATAAAACAAGTGTGAGTTGCAAAGAATGTCTGAAGGAAGTCATACAAGATACCTATCCTCAAGAAAAAATATAAAAATTATAATCATTATCTAGTTATAAATGATAGTCTGTTATTAAATCAAATTTTAATTAAAGTTATTGTAGATGCATTTGTTTTGCTTTCTCATAATTGTAGTATAAAAATGTTAATATTGCTTTCAATATCAAATGCACAGTAAAAAGTTGATATCATAATAAAAGTTTATGTCTTAGGCATAAAATTTTTGACATGTTATTTTTTTATAGTTCACCTTATTGGAAAATATGATGGTAGGATTTTTGATGAGAGGGATGCAGCTTTTGCTGTTGGAGAAGCATCAGAAGCTAATGTAATCTCAGGCATTGACATAGCCATACAAAAATTCAAGAAAAATGAGACCTCTAGACTTATTATTGGTCATAAATATGCCTTTGGAGCTAATGCTTCACAAGTGAGTATTAGTCAAAATATTTAAAATTTATTTAAGGTTTGTTAGGATATTTATTCCCTCCTTTTATATAGTACAAAAAATGGATAAGACATTTGCCTTCAAAATATGTTTCAACTTCCACAATAACATCTTCATTTGATCAGATCTCCAAATCGTTTTATGTAAAATATTGGGCCACTTTGAAGTGTATTTTTGCTTTTGCTGTGATCAAATTAGGATGTGGGGCATCTTCTCAGCAAAAAGCAGTTTTTCTTCCTCATATAATGCCATTTTTGAAAATTGATCAATGTTTCATTTGTTGAAGATGATGTTTAAAAATAGCCAACAATATACATTTTAATATTTTAATTATATTTTTGTTCTATTAGGAATACAACATTCCAGCTAATGCCACAGTAGAATATACAGTTACCCTAAAAAACTTCGAGAAGTTGAAAGAGAGCTGGTCACTTGATTCCGAAGAAAAAATCGAGCAGTGCAAATTATTTAAGGAAAAGGGAACTAACTACTTTAAAAATGGAAAATATGAATCTGCTGTGAAGTTGTACAAGAGGATACATTCTTATTTGGAGAAGGATACTGGTAAGTAAGGCTTAAAATATGTGAATGATTTAGTTCTCTATAATAAACTTGTTAGTACTTTATTTTTAATTAGTAATTTACAGTAGTATAAAATTTTGTAGGGTCACCTAGGGTTAGTGTGATGTAAAAATATGCAAATTTGAGTTTAAAATAAAAAAAATATATATTTGTTTTTAATTGAATGGTTTCAGATTTTTAGTGAAGACTTTCTGGTCAATTGTCACAATCATTGCACAGTGAATAGGCATGTTGCATTTTTAAAATATATTTTACATTACATTTTATTTAAGAGGGTAAGGTGTCACACTATCCCTTGATTATGGGATTACTCTGACTAGGATTATGGATAGTCTGACAACTAGATTTTTTACTATTTTAAAGCATCTAGGATTGTGTGTGCCTTGGTGTGACAAAGAAAGACATTACAATAATATTGTAATAATTTTTGGCATTTAAAAATTCGACAATTTTAGGGGAAAAAAATGTGAAATTTCTTATTTAAAACACCAATTTTGTTTTTATTAAATGTAGGTATTTTATTGAGAACCTCTTCATATTTTACAAATTCAGTAACATCTAACATTCAAAAACATCAACTTTTCCATTGAAAGTATACTGAATTCATTCACTATTAAGGGATAATATCAGATCCATGAATATTCCTATAATCTGAGACATTCTAATAAATGAACTGTCTTTTTCATTAACAACAAAACTCTTTTTATCCTTATCGTCATCTTTAGTGTCATCAATGTTTTCAATTACACACACATACCTAAAAGCAGTTGTGCCACGCTTCCCACCCATAAAATTGGCAACTGTAAAAGAGCCTTGGTTAATATCTTCCTCGTTTACAGGTTTTAATGTCGCAGTTTTCTCTAAGAATTTCTCTTCTGCTTCGTCACTTTCCCCTAAAGACATATTTTCTATCTCCTCATCACTGATTCATCTTTGACTTTTTCTTAATAGTTTTTGGACAGGTTTTCTGTTTTCCTTTAATGGACTCAGCCCTTTTTGTCTTTAAAGAACATGTATTCTTCTTTTGTTATTATTTCTGCAGTATCAATTCTTCGTTTTTTTATGCTAGTTTGAACTATATCTTCCAAAAGCGTATGCTCAAATACTTTCCCTGGTGTTTCCTGGCACACAGAAAGTTCAGTGATTTGACACCCTTGTAATGGACTGGAGGATTGGCCAGTGATTTGATGCTATTTTAATAGAGTGATAGATGATGAACCGGCGATCCCTTGCTCTTCTGATGGACTGAAAGTTGGGTGAGTAATAGCAGTTATCTTCTCAGTTATGGGGTTGACAATTATTGGATCTTTTTGGACTTTGCAATTAATATACTCTTTAAACCTCTTTAGTTTATCAGAATGATAATTTTCTTCTTTAATGGCTAATTTGTGCCATTTCTGTGCCAAGTGAGACAGTTCTTCAAAGGAGTTTCAGATATCAAGACCGGGTACCAAGCAAGAACAGGAAACTTCCTTCAAAACGACAGCGGGCAGCTTATCACTGATGACAATAAAATCCTAAAAACCTGGAAGGAATACTTCTATCAACTATTGAATGACTAATCTAGCAGAAGTACATCAAACATAGAGGTACATACAGCTGAAATAGAAGAACCAATACCCGACATAAGAAGAAGTAATACAGGCAATTAAAAACCTTAAAAATAATAAGATACCCGGGGTAGCGATGGTATACCCGCAGAGTGCTTAAAACATGGAGGAGAAGCGTTGTACAGTTCTATATACAAGCTAATTCAAGACATTTGGCGAAAATAATCAATGCCAGATGAATGGAAAGAAGGGGTTATTGTACCAATACACAAAAAAGGAAACAAAAAGCAATGTATTAACTACCGGGGAATAACACTCCTAAACACCACCTACAAAATCCTTGCAAACATCCTACTAGAAAGAACCAAAATATACACAGAAGAAATCGTTGGATATTATCAATGCGCATTTAGACTGGGCCTCTCTACTATTGACGAGATATTCACAATAAAACAGATAATGGAAAAATGCTGCGAGTTTGATCGTGAGCTTCATCAGATGTTCATAGATTTTAAACAAGCATTTGATAGAATATGCAGGGCCAGACTATGGACAGCGATGCAGGAACTTGGCTTTCCAAAAAAACTAGTCAGGTTGATACAAATGTGTATGGAACGGTTACAATGTAAGGTGAGAGTTGGACAACAATACTTGGAGACATTTGAAATAAACAATGGACTAAAACAGCGAGATGCACTTTCACCACAACTCTTCAACTTAGCTCTGGAGCACATAATCAGAAGTGCAAGAATCGAAAAACCGAATACAGTATTTCATCGAGAAGGACCAAACTTACTGTTATTTGCCGACGATATCCATCTAATAGGAAACACACGATTGAGGATGAAGGAGACTTTCGTGAGGTTCGAGAAGGAAGCAGAAAAGATGGGGCTCCAAATCAACGAAACAAGGGGAAATATATGTATATGAGCCGCAATAACCAAAGCAGAGACAGAATCAGTCACAACATCACCATCAATGACTTTAACTTTGAACGCGTTAGAGAATTCAAGTATCTTAGAACAACAATAACTGAAGTCAATAATGGATCACAAGAAGTAAACAACAGGATTCAGTCCGGCAACAGATGTCTTTTTGCCCTCCAAAACCCTATAAAATCGAAACAACTAACAAGACATACGAAGATACAGGTCTATAAAACAATCATACAACCTGTTGATGGTGATGTGTATGGAAGCGAATCGTGGTCGATAACAAAGGCAAAAGAAGAGAGACTGTGTGTTTGGGAAAGAAAAATCCTAAGGAAGATCTTTGGTCCTGTGCTGGATGAAGCATCAGCACAATATAGGATGAGAACTAACAAAGAGCTCGAAGAACTTTACCCAGATGCCAACATCATAAAAGAAATAAAGTCCAGAAGACTCCAATAGGCAGGACACCTCAGAAGACATTCTGACAAACGAACAGTAAGACTGGTGTGGGAGGAAGTCCCAACTGGAAGGAGACATCGCGGACGCCCTCGTCTCCACTAACCACTATGTGGGTGGAGAATTGGATGGATGTTGCTCAAGACAGAAAACAGTGGAGGCATGTTGTCGAGTTGGCTAAAACCCACGAAGGGTTGTAACGCCACAGAGTAAGAGTAAGTAACAAGCCAAGACTGTTATTGTCTCTCGTTCGCTACCGCCAGTTAAACTTTTCCCAGGCTGACCTTCCTTGCATACAATTTTGGTTGAGCTAGGATCACTATTAAATGCAGTTTCATCACAGTTCCAAAAACCTTCAGGCTTGTTTTCTAGGCCTAAATCATGGATTAGTTCACCAAGCAGGTTAAAAAAATGATTAACAATAAAAGGATCTCCGGCTGGTCTTGAACGGGAACACTTTAAACGTTCGGGTTTTTTAAGAGAAATGTTATTCTGTTAAAACAGCAAATTAAGCGTCTTTGTTTAGAGGTGTAGATTGTCGTTACCTGTGAGTTTCTACCTGTTACTTTTGATACGCTTTTGTATACAATCAGTGACAGTATAAGTGATTTTGTAACAAGTAGATACCTCTTTAGCATCTCGAGAAATTGTGAATGAATTGATCACGCGTTCCTAGTGTTTATATTCTACTTTTCTGTTAGGCGAATATAATATAACCCTAGGTGACCCTATTTATTTTACTATTTTTTGATAAAATATATCATTGTTGATACCTTTTACTTATTTAACTAGTCCTTAAGATGAATTTGTAAGTTAAAAAAATCACATACACACATTTGTTTCAGATACTGACACCCAAGAAGACAGAAACGCCCTGCTTCTAGCTTCACATTTAAACATCGCCCTATGTCAATTGAAGCTTAAAGAGTACTTTGAAGCTCGTTCAGCTGCTACATCTGCCTTAAATATCGATCCTGACAACGAAAAAGCTCTCTTTAGACGAGGACAAGCGTACATTCAGTTACGAGAGCCCGAGTTAGCTAGACAAGACTTTACAAGGTAAGGTACAATGTCTGAAGCTTTTTTGGAAAATGTGAAACGTGAATAAATTAAATTACTAGACTTTTTTGTGCATCCTGTATATATCTGAAAATACTTATATATTTTTTTAACATTTACCATGTTTTCTTTGATTTGTAGGTGTTTGGAGATAGATCCGAATAACACAGCTGCTAAATCTCAACTAACCATTTGTTCGAAAACATTGAAGGAACAACTACAGAAAGAGAAGAAGATTTACGCCAATATGTTCGATAAATTCGCCAAAATGGACACGCAGGTGAAGACTAATTAACTATATGCTTTTTCATGATGCTATTGAAATATTTTTATTATTGTCTAATAAAATAGAAGTAGAAATTTTGAGTTTTATTGTTTAGTTCTTTTTAAGTTTTTTTTCTTGTGTTTTAAATTGTAAAAGTAAATTAATGATTAAGAGGAAATGATTTCGAAGAGTTTAAACGGAACTGTAGAGGGGAATGCATAAATATTAGATTTCTTAGTATAAAAATAAACTTAACCCTCAAAATCAGTCAGTCACGTCATAGTAATATGGGGCCGATGCTATGTCCAATATTACTAATTTACAAAAAGTAGGTAAGAAGAGACTAATAATTTGTTGTTACGTAGGCTAAAGCTTTGGTTTTCATTTGTATGTTAAAGCATCAAATGAATTTTCATAAAATAGTTAATTCTTTATTTTAGAGGGAAGAATTCGAGAACAGAAAACTGCCCAATGTGATGAGCTCTGTCGGTGAATGGGGCCAGGAAGATAGAGAAAGAGAACCTAGCGAATTTGAAAAGGAAAACCCTGACATTATACTACTAAACAAGACTGGCGAGTTTAAAGATATGTAAAACTTTTGTATGTATTCCAATAAATTTATTTAAAATCCTTGTTGTTATTAAAACCCCTATAGATTATCAAAGAATTCAGGTAGCACCTTACGTGACAGTTACGAAAATTACTTTCTGTGATGTTATAGCATATTAACAGGCTGAAATTTGTAGTCCCTGTAGCATACCTTGGCCTATAACGTCAGGATCAATCGAGCTGTTCTCGGAAGCCATCTTTAAAAGTAAATGTGGGGTTTTCGGTCAATTGTCAACCGCCATGTTAAATATGCTTCACCTTTTCACGCTCAATAGTATTGATATCTACTATTATACATCTACAGGTCTCTATAGTTGGTGTATTTTATACATCACATTTTTTTTTCTCTTCTCGCGGTCAATTTTATCGTTTATTACACTTTGTTCCTTATTTTCTCATTAAATGTACAAAACATGAACAATTCAGTGAATGGTTTTTTACACTGGTGAAATAAAACACAACTTTTATTTAGCATCATTGTCTTCCACGCATGAAACTCAAGACAGACCAGTTACCGCCTGTTAGGGAAAGACATTTTATAGACGCTCGCTCAGTACATCGAAAAGAGATAGGTACAAAAAGGCGCTTGGGGACGTTTTCAGATTTTAAGTACAATTTGTGACGTTTCTAGTTTGTTTACTTATGGCTGTCTGTTTGTTGGATTTTTTGTCCCATTTGTGCATATAAAAGTTATTTATATTACACAAACGGTTGCTTTCACAACTAATTTTATATTGGAGTTAAAAATTTTATGGTAAGTGTACTTTATTTTGCCATTAATTTACATACAAAGTTAACCTCATTCACACAGTTAAGGAATGGTTTTGTAAGTTTCCGCTAAAGTAAAAGAAATGGCAAAAAAAATATATTTTATTGAATTTTTTTAGATTATTCCTAGAAAAACCATTAATTCACCAGTACTAGAACTCGTTTTAAATTTAATCGAGTACTTTGAATTAGAAAAAAGGAATGGAGGACCTTTGGAACCGTCGCCATCTGTTTAAGAAATCCAAAAAGTACAATTTTCAAATGTGCACTATTGTAAAGCTTTAATGATGACAATTGTAAAGTATGTTCACCCTATTTTTTCCCATACATGAAATTATTTACGAATTACTTTTTTACTAGGTCTCTTTTTTACTCACAGAAACTAGTATTGCAAAATTAGGCCACTTGTTCATAAAAATAATCACAATAAGTTAATTGTGTCATATGTCACCTTAGCATTTCCGTTAAATTAAATACTCTCTCTCCTGTTACTGACAAAGAATGTAGTGCGTAGAACCATTCAATTAATTTTAAACTGTTTGTTTTAGTGTAGTGTTTTGTACAATTTTATGTTAAAATTCATGTTTATCACATTCTACGCTTGCTGGATAGCCCACACTTGACGAAATGCCCCTGAAGATGCTGTTTTTAAGCGAAAGTACTTGGGCAAGATTTAATTGTTAAAATTGTGCTCGATATTTGCCTTTCATTTTCAAAGTTTATTGTTATTTAGTTACCCAATCTTTTATTTCAGTCTTTTTTGAAGATATGTTTGGTACTTTCTCTAAAAATATGCGATAGTATAGAGCGTTATCGAGTATTATTAGGGATGGTTCAGACAAATTTTTTAATAGTTGATTTTCAAACATTCAAAGCCATTTTCATTACCAGCATGAAGAATAATATATCTACAAAAAAATTATTTCAACACCTTCATGTTTTCAATATGATTACGATTATATATTATGGTTAATATAAATACAGTGCGTTAAGTTTTGGATTAGGTATACACTCTATAAATGGCAACACTGCGCGTCTTCGACTTGCACTACATATCTGCTTCGTTGACTCGTCGTTGCACGTCGCCCGTCGGCAAATTTGTCATATTGTCATTATACCGTGGTTAACAACGACACGCCCCCCCCCCCCTCAAGCCAAAACCAGTGGAGGGGAGGCGAGTGGGAATTATAAATATTGCCTCCGTAGTACAACGCGTCGTCAGTTTCTGCTTACAAGCGAAGCATCAACATCTCCAGAAGATGCCAACCCCTAGTGTTGGCGAAACGTCGAGAACTAATCTCAACAGAAGACAACAGCCCGAATAAACAGTTTAATAAGTTAGACGATGGCCGTGAAAGCCTAACGCAATTTATTATACCGTGGTTGTTTAAAGGTGTAACAGCGTAGAGTTTTAATTTATTTTTGTAAACATGTCTGTTTATATGGCCGCGGAAAAAGCTCAAATAATAAAATGGTTTTATAGTGACAATTCTGCGCAACAGTGTGTAGATTTATTTTCTGTGTTTTTTAAGGGAAGACCAATTCCTCGTGTACAGTCAATTTATAATATTGTTAAAAATTTTGAGAGTTGTTATTGCCTCAAAAATTGCAGAAAATGTCACGCTCGAGAAGTGTTACCAGAAAAAGTTGAGGAAAGAGAATACCGGGATACACAAATTTGTGCAACAATCGAGGTAGATTCAACACGTTCAAGTAGAAGCGTTGCTAGAGAGTTAGATGTTAGCAATGTTACTGTAACGAAAGTATGGAAAAAGCACGGTTACAAGAATTTTAAATATTCGAAAACGCAGCAGCTTTATCCAGACGATTACTTTCGAAGAATGGAGTTTTGTGAAACTCTAATAACGAAGGCTAATAGTGAACCAAATTTTATTAAAAACATTTTATTCACTGATGAATCTTCTGTTTCGTTAGTAGGAAGACACAATCCTTCCATTACGAGGTATTGGGCGCGGGAAAACCAGCACAGAAGTGTTGTTTACCGAACTCAACGTCCTCAAAAAGTTAACGTCTGGACTGGCATTTTAGGAGACCACATAATAGGTCCATTTTTTATTGAGGGCAACTTGAATAGTAGAGTATACCTCGATTTGTTACAGAATCATGTTCTTCCCGCTATTCTCAATCTTCCTGATGTAAATCTGGAGAATGTTTGGTTTCATCAAGACGGCTGTTCAGTTCACAACGCTCGAATTATGAGGGAGTATTTAAACAATACTTTCCCGAATCGAGTTATCAGTGGAACAGGCGATATTAAGTGGCCTGCGCGATCTCCAGATCTTACACCCATGGACTTCTTTTTTTGGGGACATTTAAAAAGCATTATTTACGCTCATCCTGAGGCTAGAGCCCAAAATTTGGATGAATTAAAAAATCGAATAAGAGAAGTCTCCAATTCTGTTACAGCAGAAACTCTTTCATTTGTTCGCAGAAGTTTTTATGACAGATTGGGGTACTGTTCAGCCGTAGAAGGTCAACTATTTGAACCATTTCTGTAGGTCATAAAGAATTATTTTTTATTTTATTAGGAATAATATTTTAATTTTCAATAAGAGTATAATTTTTTGTTTTATCTTTTTAAAGAAATACGCTTTTATTTTTAATTCAAACACAAAAAAATTTTCACATTAATAAAAATCGATATAACAGTGCACCGATTAGTTCAGTGCATTTTTATCGAATTTCCTACTATTAAGATCGGCTTTACGTAATGAAACATGAGATCGGACGACAGAGAAGTACATCCCTAACGTTATTGTGAGTTACTAAACTAAAATAAATGATTTTCTGTCGGTGTAGATTTTCGGGTCGGAGAACGAACATTTGCAACGTTGCCAATTTTAGCGCTCCGTATAGTGTGCAATACCTAATCAAAAACTTAACGCACTGTATATTACGGTTTTTCATCAGTTTTAATAGATTTTACACATATTTTATTCTCATCTTTCCATAAGCGACATATAGATCAAGTTTCTCTCTTCCAGCAATATTAGATTGTTCCATCAGTCCACGCCTTCGATCAACTTTTAGCCATTTAAAACCAATGTCTTTCAGTACAATATTGAGTGACATACGATAACCACTAAACAGATATTTTCCTTTCGATTGAATTCATAAATGGGTCAGCCACATGAGTTACAAAAGGAAGAGTTGCAATTCTGACTTTTGATTCCCCAGACAAAGTCCACTATTAGTAAGATTGTAGTGTTGATAATTCAATTTGTAAAAAATTTGAACTTCTCTAAAGGTGTGATATATTAAAAATATTATTTGTTTTTTATGTAATTCACTCGATAGTTTTGTATTTCTGAACATTAGGTAATTGATTTGACTTTCTTCTAAATTTATTTATTACCGTTATATATTTGAGGAGCTTGCGTTCAAAAGGGGCTATATCCATTTTTTTTCCAAATTATGCTTCTTTGTGATTTTCGACTAAGTTTTACAAGATCTATCAACTGGCACGTTCATTAGCGTTCAAAACGAGCTATGTATATTTTAAAATCGTATATAAAGTCGGCATTTTGCATCAAAAGTGGCTATATCCTACTTTTGCGATCAAAACTGGCTATATCCAAAAATTCGTTATATTCAGAAATACGGCAAAATAGTGGTGCATCTGACATTACTGTAACGATACACTTGGCGAACTCGCGACCGCCTCGCGTTGACCGTTAACTAAAGAGCGGTATTCGCCAACTCTTGTGGGAGTAGTGCTGGTTTGCTTCCGGAAATATTGACGATTGACGACGATTCACGTGCATTATGATCACCGTAGAGCAGGGAAATACAAGGTTCTAGACGCCGCATAAAAAATGTGACAAAACGCCAGGCTGAACAATCATCAAGGTATGTAATCATTTAAATTATATTATACGATTTAGTTACTGTTACATTGCTTTTATGTAAATAATAATTTTATTTTTACACATTCGTTTTTCGATTGCTTGCTTTTAAGGGGTTTGGGGGGGTGGTCCCACTGGCGATGTTAGTGTCGTTTGATATAAATATAATCTTTCTTACGCTAGTTTCTTTGCATTTTACAGGTATGGTGATCCCGATCCAACACTGCTTCGATTCGAAAGGTGTTGCCAACATTATGGGAAATCATTTCAGTGTGCTACAGATAGAAAACGGCACATCCAAACCCTACGACAGAAATTTTATGCAGATTCGATCAAACCTAACCAAGACGTTAGACCGTGCCATATGTTATCCGTCGCTTCTATTGC